CCCCCACCCCCACCCCCAACCCCCACCTGGTGCCAAGTCCCAGGGCTCTGTCTAGGGCCATCCATGGAGGCAAACTCTCCCTTCGTTCTCCACCACTAGAGTTTTTGTAACTGGCCTCACCCTGTTCCCTAAGCCCAACTTCCCCTTTTGGCCAAAGCACTTTGGGCCACCACAAAGTGGCAGGGTCAGTCCCTCTGCAGGCCAAATGTCACATACAAAGCCATGCTGAGCAAAAGACAAGAGGCAAACAGAAACAAGTCCTTGTGGCCCAAGCCCCCAACCCCACAGGAGGGAAAGGTGTAGGGCAGCGACGTGTTGGCCAGTCCAGCTGTGGTGTTGATTGACTCCTCCACCTGGAGCCTTGGGGCCAGCAGCTTGGAGAGGAGGCTGCTGAACCTGCTCACAGTGGTGGCCTCTGGCTCTGGGGATGGGCCTGGACTAGACGCAGTGAGGTTCAACTCCATGGGGTCCACACACAGGCCATCGGTGGAGTGCTCGAAGGCCACCTGCCTGAGGTCCAGGCCGGCCACAGAGCCTGGGGAAGTGCACAGCACATCGGCGACACGGCCAGGGCCCTCTAGCCAGTCCCGCAGCCACTCCAGGTGGCAGTCGCAGCGCCATGGGTTGCGGAAGAGGAATAGGCGGCCCAAGAAGAAGCCAGGCTGGAAGGCAGCCCAGGAGATCATGGTGAGGCGGTTGCCATTGAGGTGCAGCGCCAGGAGGCCTGAGAGGTTCTGGAAGGCGCCCTCCTCCACGAAGGTGATGCTGTTGCGGTCCAGGTAGAGCAGCTCCAGCTCTGCTAGGTCAGTGAACCAGTCACGCGCCACACTGCCCAGCGCGTTTCCCCCCAGGTTGAGCGTGCGGAGGCGGTGCAGGCCGCGGAAGGCATCAGCGGGCAGCATGGCCAGCAGGTTGTCGTTGAGCAGCAGGTGCTCCAGCGCACTGCAGTCGCCAAAGGCGCCGGCGTGCACTGCGCGGACACGGTTGGCCTGCAGGCTGAGCGACTGCAGCCTCCGCAGGCCCTGCAACGAGCTGGAGGCCACCGCCTCGATGCGGCTGCGCTCTAGGTGTGCGTGAGTCAGGTTGGCCAGGCCGCGCAGAGCGCCCGGCACGCGGCGGAACAGGTTGTCGAAGGCGGCGAGCTCACGCAGGGCTGGCAGCTCTGCGAGCAGGCGCTCGGGCACGCTGAACAGGCGACAGGCGGCCAGGTCGAGGTGCCGCAGGCGGCCAAGCGTGGCAAAGGTGCGCGCGTGCAGGTAGCGCAGTTCGCCGTTGTGCGCCAGACGCAGTTCGGCCAGCCACGACAGACCCTTAAAGGCGCCGGGTGTGATGAAGGACAGGTTGTTATGGCGCAACGACAGGCGGCGCAGTGACGGCAATGTGCCGAAGGCGCGCTCGCCCAGAATGCGCAGGCCGTTGCGGTCCAGGTCGATAGAGGCCACCTCGCACGGGAACTCGGCGGGCACCCGCAGCAGGCCGGAGCGGTCGCAGCGCACCAAGCAGCCGTGCTCTGTGTTGCTGCAGCTGCAGGCAGTGGGGCAGGCGCGCAAGCAGGATTCCGTGGCCTGGATGCTGGGCAGGCCAAGGACCACCGCTGGCAGCATGGAGAAGAAAAGACAAAAAGAGAGCAGCAGTCAGCCAAAGGTCACCCCAGGAGCACTGCACAGGCCCTGCAGGTACGTATGTCGCTGAGCTATATTCCCGACCCTACAACACACTCTTCGCTTTGGTTTCCACTTACCTAAATCAGCACATCCTGTGCTGCATTGTCGCCATATGCTCCTAGAGTACCACTTCTTGGCCTTTTGGCTAAGCTCAAGTATGGAATACAGCCTCAAAGGTTTCCAGGATGCACGTGTAGCTGGGCCACTGAAGACGGTTCTGTGGCCTACACTTAAGACTGTGCTGCCCGATATGGTGGCCACCAGCCACATAGGCTACTGGGCATTAGAAATGTGGCCAGTCCGTCAGTGTGCACAGTGTACCAGATCTCAGGATCTTAATACCAAAGAGTAAAATATCGCATCAATAATTTTCACATTCATTGCGTGTTGAAATGTTTTGTGGGGAGTGGGGAGAAGTGGAGATGGAACCCAGGGCCTCATGCACGTTAGGGGAGTGCCCTACCTCGAGCTGCATCCCAGGCTGGAAATACTATTTTAGATATATTGGGTTATATAAAATATTCACATTAATGCCAGCTGTTTCTATCTATTTTTAATTTGGCTACTTGGAAAATGTACGGACGTGAGGCTTATATTGCTATTGGTACTATTGGCCCCTCTAACCCTAAGAGTGTAATTCCTGCAAACTCCCACTGAGTAAGTTAAGCCTCTAGAGAAGGAAGAAGTGGGGGGAGGTCCAGGAGATGAGAGAGAAGGCTGCCAGTCTTGTTTTCTTCTGTAACACTCACTAAAGTTAAACCATAAGGACAAGATTGCTAAAAAGACTTCTCACACTCTTCAAGAGAACCAGTTATACTTTGCAGGTGAGGTGCTTTCCCCAGACCGTGCTCCCTAGGAACTTATATCATCTTGTGAAAGAAAAGTGCTAATCAATTTTGTTCTGAACATTTGAGTGGCAGGTCAGATAAAGACTTCAAGGGGCGGCCAAATAGTTCAGTGGATTAAAGTGCCTGCAAGGAGGTGCAGGGACCAGGGATTTGATCCCCAGGCCTGCCGTGTAGCCTGGCCTTGCCTCCGGGGCATGCTGAGACAGTGATTGAGACCAGGTGTGGTGGCTCGAGCCTATAATCCCAGCTCTTGGGAGGCTGTAAACAGGCAGATCACTACAAGTCCGATCCAGTAGTGAGACCCTGAACACACTGTAGGCCCTTCCCTAAAATACAGAGCAAAAAAAGACTTCAAAAGCCACCACACAGTAGGCTTGGCCGTGGCCCCAACGGAAGGGCATGGTCTGTTGTCCTGTGGAAGATGCGGGTCACAAGTTGAGCCTTTAGGACCCATGGAAAAGGCAGCATTAACTCTACACAATTTATATCTTCCGGCTGGGTGTAGTGATGAAATATGCTCCACACACAGCCCCTATAGAGGGAAAAGGGTACCCAGAGGTAAACGTGCTCACTGGTTGTCTCAGTTACTCTTCTCTCATTACTGGGACAAACACCAGACACCCAATATGCAGGAAAGAAAGGTTTACTTAGCTCACAGTCAGTGGAGGTTTCAGTGCATGCTTGGCTGGCTCCAAGGCAGACTGACACATGGCAGAGAGCAGCTTTTCATGGTGATGGCAAAGAGTACAAAGGGAGGGGCAGCAGCTCAGGCAGCAGGCTACCCTCTCCCCCCTCCTCACACTGTGACTCGGATTACCTGCTCCAGGGAAGGTGCAGCACCCACACCCACAATAATCAGTCACAAACTCCAGAGGGCCGGGGAGATAGCTCAGTGGAACAAGTGCTTGCCTGGCAAGTGCAAGGTCCTGAGTTTGATCCCTGGTACCACAAAAAAAAAATCACAAACTCCAGAAGCTGACCATGACTGCATGAGACTTCTGGGGAACAACTAGACACAAACCATAACACTGTTTATTTTTAATTTCCACTCTTCCTCAGCAGTACTTCCGAATTTCTGGCAATTACCGATGACCTGCCATGAAGTTCCTCCTGCTATGTACAGGGTCCCCTTCAGGAACCTCAAGTGTAGTCAATACAAGGGAGTATCTGGGTTTGCTCAGCTCCAGGACCCCATTAGTCTGTTGTGAACGCTTCATGTTTTCTCAGCGACTGGCAAAGGGATTTGGCTCTTTCGGACTTGATTCAGATGTTCACTTGAAAACCATAGCTACTTCAACATCCTAATCTTGCCTGCCCACACTGTGCATGCCTGTAATTCCAGCATGCTGAGGTAAGAGAATCACAAATTCAAGGCCCACCTGGGAAGCTTAGTGACTTAGTGAGACCCTGTCCCAAATGGAAAATTTTAAAGGGCTGGGGATGTAGCTCAGCACAAAGGCCCTGGGTGGGTTCAATCCCCAGTACTGAAAAAAAAATTAAAAGTCTGATATTGAGGCCTCACTTAGCTTTGCCTTTGTCATAGACACCAAGCTCTAGCAAGTTCCTGGGACCTTGTGCTATACTTGGCTGTGGACGGGTCCTCTGCTGGACTGGGAGACTCTGGTAGGGAAACAGCGCCAAGATCATAAGCTTAGGGGCCGGGGAGGTGGCTCAGTAGAATAAGCGCTTGCCTGGCAAGCGCAAGGGTGTGAGTTCAATCCCTGGTTCCGGGGAAAAAAAAAAGATCATAAGCTTAACTCTAGGCCTCAGAAGGACACAGGTAGAACCTTCTCCTATCAACTCTTCCAGAGTCAAGTCAAAGGCATTGGATTTTCTTACAAGTAGTCCTTCATTTTATTCTTCTCTTTTCTGAATAAGAAAAGTTCACTCTCAAAATATGACTCATGCTGACTCACAGTAGTTAACATCATTCTAGGCATATAAATGGCTCTATAAATGTAGAATCAACTAGGATTGATCCTTTCCTGCTGGATGATGTCATTTTTAACACTTTTGGTCAAGACTTCACAGCATTAGAAGAGATGGGATACAAATAATTTGTAAAATGCAAGAAACCAAAAGGGTGGCTGTCAGTTTTTGTTGTTGTTTGTTTGTGGGAGGAGGATTGTATGTGCATGTTTGAGATAAGGTCTCACTATACAGCTCAGGCTGGCCTTGACTCACTTCGCAGCCCAGCCTGGCCTCAAACTCACAGTGATCCTCCAGCCTCAGCCTCCTGAGTGCTGGGATTACAGGAGTGTGCCACTACACCTGGCCAGGTGCCAGTTTTTAAAAAGCCAAGTAAGAGAGGTGAGAGCAAAGCATCTCATAATCTATCCTCTTTACTTTTTAAATTTTAAAACAAGGACAGGGGTTGTGGTTCAGTGCTGGACCTCTGGTCTAGTGTATGCAGGGCCCATGGTTCCATCCCCAGTATGGAAAAAAATTTGAAATATATGAATATACAGTACAACCTGTTTCAGAAAATAGCTTGAAGTTTACCTTAAACTTTTACTAAGTACTCAAGACATTATCACTGCTTCATTCTCTGAAACTTTGACAGAAATCAGAAATAATAACTAATTTACTGGATTAGGTAGTAAAATTTTTTTTTCCAGAACCAGGGATTGAACTCAGGACTCAGACCCTCACACTTGCCAGGGAAGTGCTTATTCTACTGAACTATCACCCCGGACCCCATGTTCAGTCTCAATCCCTGTCTCAGTACACCCCAGGGGTGGGGCAGGTTGTGAAATTTTTTTTTTATAAATTTCAGATGGACTTAATTTTTTTTTTTTTTGCAGAACTGGGGATTGAACTCAGGCCCTTGTGTTTGCCAGGGAAGCGCTTATGCCACTGAGCCATCTCCCCGGCCCCAGGTTTGGAATTTAAACGAGGCAAATTCTTAGCACACACAGTAAAACTCTAGTATTGGTTTATCTAGTACGAAGACTAAGTATACGTTTAGTAAGCAAGAAAAGCAGAGCACCAACAAGAAAAACAAATCAAAATGTTATATAGTGAGACAAATTCTGCTTCAAATATTGGGAGAGAAGCTAATACGAAACTAACAGTCCAACTGATAGCTACCGTGGTCCCACAGTTACCACTCTTGGGTAGGAAGGGGCCAAGATGGCTCACCACAGTGGCTACACATTAGAGTCACATGGGGAGCTTTTGTTGTATTCTTTTGTTTTATTTTTTATTAGTACATGTTTGCATTACATAATGTTTACACCTTATAGGGAGTTGCTGCAGGAACAACACACATCTTAATTCCCTTTTCATCCTCTTTCCCTCCTCTCCCCCATCTCTTGGTCCCTTCCCATTTGAGAAAGATCTATCCCTATTGCCAATTACCTATCTTTTATTTCGGTCTTTATTTATACTTTGGGTTAGAAACCATGCATTAGTTAAACTTGTATGTCTGACTTATTTCATTGTAGTCTCAAGGTGTATATGTGTTCCTATCCTTTATAGCAAAGTACTACTCCATGGCCACATTTTCTTTATCCAGTCCTCTGTTGATGGACATAGATGTTGCTTCCAAGATTCAGCTATCATGAAGTGTGCTGCTATAAACATAGGTAAATGTCATCAGTGTAATATGATGTTTTCAACTCTTTCAGGATGATAAGTAGGAGAATCGCTGGGTAAAATAGCATTCTTGGTTTCAGTATTTTTGTGGAATCTTAATACTGATTTCCATAATGGTGGTATTAATTAACACTTCTACCAACAATGAAGTAGTGTTTCTTTTTGCCCACAGCCTTGAAAGAATTCATTATTATATAATTTCTTGGTCATAGCCATTCTTTCTGGAGTAAGATGAAATCTCAGTGTTATTTTAATTTGCATTTCTTTAATGGCCAGAGATATTGAACATTTTTTCATGGCCATTTATACTTCGGAGAAGTGTCTGTTCATTTCAGTTGCCCATTTTGATTGGATCTTTTACTTGGAGGAAATCTAACTTTTTGAGTTCTTTATATATTCTAGAGATTAGACCTCTGTCTGAGGAATAGCTAGCAAAATGCTTCCATTTCTGTAGGCTGTGTCTTTGTTCTTTGTTGTACAGAATTTACTTTGATTTGATCCCAT